TGTTATAGCGGGTATATGGCAGTGTATTTTGAGAGATTGTGCAGTGTCAGATACTTCATTATTGAAGGCGATAACAGGGAGCGCGAGGTGTGCTCTGTAATATTTTTAGTGTAGTGCTATTCTTCATATGAAATGTTTGTTATAAACTTCACCTGGTTTCCTAGTATAACTGCTGCCTTTTTTATGAAGAATAGAGGAGTTTTAAGCCTGGGTTCGTCGACAACATCCAGTAAAATACTAGCCCAAAAAAATTAATTTCAAACATTTTATCTCTGCCCTGAGTGTAAGCAGGTTTCCATTCATAAAATTTATGAGTCTCATGATAAAAGCTGATTTCATTCAAATGTCTTGAGCTCAATGCTACTTCTAACAGTCAGAATAACCGTACTTTTAGGTACTTAGAATGTTATAAATTGCTGCTAAAGAAAAAATTTACAATCTCGTAGTGCTTGCAACCAATGAACTATATTGGACGCAGGTTGGACACAAAGACTAGCTTCAAGAGAGATGCTGTTGCACTCCAACCGTGGAGAAGAAAATGGTCAATTTACACAAAAGGTTGCATCGACGCTGTCAAAACATGCATTAAAGGTACTTAAAGAATGGGAAACTAATGGACCAAAGATCGTCAGAGCATCCTTCAAAACAAAGAAGAAGGGCGTTACAGTGAACATCATACATAATAATGCACCAACAAACGATTGTAATGAAGACGTTAAAGATCAATTCTGTGACAGGCTGCAGTCAGTCGTCGAGAAATACCCATCAAAGGACCTGTCCACTCTGATGAAAGACCTGGACGCCAAGGTTGGAATGGACAACACCATCATGAAGACATCATAGGACGACGTGGACTGAGAGAAGGAAACGATAAACGGTGAGCGATTTACAAATATATATGCCTTCAACAAACTGGTCATAGGCAGCACCATATCCTCACATGAATGTGTACACAAGCCACATGGATTTCAATTGATCGCACTACACAGAACCATATCTACCACATCTGCGTCAATAAAAGGTTCGGAAGGAGGACGGAGAACGTGAGAACTAAGAGAGGAGATGATTCCGCCTAAGATCACCGCTTACTGATCGTCAAGATGAAATTCAAACTCAGGAAAAACTGGACAACAAGGCGGAAAACATCAGAAACGTTTGAAACAGCCTTTCTACGGGATACTGGCAAGCTCAACGAGTTCAAGATAGTCCTCAGAAATGAGTTACAAGCCTTTCACGGTGTACTCAATGGCAAGGAAACTACCATTGATGACAATTGGGAAGAGATGAAGAATTCAGTTCTTTGAGCATATGATAAGATTCTAGGTCAAAAGAAGTACTACTATAACAAGGAATGGATCTCTTGAAGTACTCTGATTAAGATTCAAGAAGGCCGCAATCAATATCAGCCGAACAAGAGGAGAGAAAGCTAAGGCACAAAGTGATCACATAGTAGCAAACAAGCGATTAAAGAGGAGCATCAGAATCCACAAACGTAAATATGCGGAGGATCTAGATATGACAGTGGAAAAGGCTGCAAGAGAAGGAAACATGAGACAACAGTATCATGCAGCATAGATTCTAGCTGAAAGTAAACCAGGATGACCAGTGTAAAGCAAGGAGTGCAAAGTAGTCAGCACTATTGAAGCACAGTGAAACAGGTAGATGGAGAACTTTTCGGAAACTTTCAGTCGACCAGCCACGAAAAACCCACCCACCATCGAAGCAGCGACTACAGACCTCACAATCGATGTTTGCCCGCCAACAATCGAAGAGATCAGTATGGAGATCAGACAAATCAAGAGCGGTGAAGCTGTGTTTCCAGACAACACCCCAGCAGAGGCAACCAAAGCAGATGTAGCAGCTACTGCAAAAGTACTCTACATTCTCCTCAATAACATTTGGTTGAAGAACAGGTATCAACAGACTGGAAACAAGGATACCTGATCAAGATTCCGAAGAGAGGAGATCTCAGCAAGTGTGAGAGCTACACAGGCACCACTCTTCTCTGAATATCAGGCAAAGACTTCAATAGGGTTTTGTTAGACAGAAGTAAGGACTTCCTAGTCGTCGAACTTCCAGATCACCAGTCTGCATTTTGTTAGGATCGATAGTGTTATTTAGTCATTGTTTTAGGTTTTCGCATGTCTAATTTGTATAGTTTTCATATTATTATGCAAAAATGAAAATGACAAATCGCATTTTGCGGACGGTGCATTTTTGAAGGTTACATTTAAAGGCTTGATATATATACTAGACTGTTCTTAGTTTGAGCCTCGGGTGTATGTCTAGAGATGCTGAAGATTATCGTTGAAACAAAGATCTGAATAGAGGATAGGTGTGTTGTGTCGTAGAATCTGTTGCAGAGATGACTGTCCGCAAGTAGTTGTAACTGCCAAATTGTTACTGATGCCAAAAATTAGACAACATCGTTTTACTAACATGTGTTTCAGTAATGTATTCTTTTATTGACAAAATTTTCACGTGAAATTATACAGAGAAATTTATATGTGAGTAAATCTTTAATTACATCGCTCTCCTAATTTTGGATGAATTATTCACCGATATGTTATGGCGGGTATATGGCAGTGTATTTTGAGAGATTGTGCAGTGTTAAAGTCTTCATTATTGAAGGCGATAACAGAGAGCTCGAGGCGTGATCCATATAGTTTGTAGTGTTGTGGTATTGTGCAGGTCTAGTATTGGTTGTGGACAGCTGATCTATTATGCTATACTGATGAACTGACGCAATGAACTAATATCGACTCACCATCATTTGACCACTATGCAATCTGCATGATTGTAAGTCGACGCCTCAATATCGTATATCTGGACTCGCTAGTTCGCGTCGTCCTGTAATTTTGATTCTAAGGAACATAGGAGAACACATTCTTTTTTTATGATGATGTTTTATTTCGAGAGCGTAGGACCCATATCTGGTGTTAACGGCTTTGTTTGAACTCTGATTGATGTTAAGTTGTTGCTGTTGTGTTATTATTACAGCTTTATTTACGGATCGTACAATATTTCTCTTTTCAAATTATTTCTGTCTGTCGTGCTCTAACTAACTTGTCGTTATTGTTTTGCTCTAGCCTCAATACTTGGATTTCTGAGTTGGATTTTATTCTTTCCACAATAATTACTTCAACCATTTCCGGTTTACTTTTTTGTTTCTCACTATTGGACGCTTTTTGATTTTTGGTTAATTTTCTTACATTTATCACCCACGTTGATCTTGAATCACGTTTAGCTATTTTACATGTTTCAATATAAATCTACTTTTGGTTATTTTTCTGACCTGTCTATATTAATTCCATAAAACAAATGTAATTGTGAGAATTAAATAATATTTGGCAAATCGATCTTTTGTTTGCTGAAAATATAGATAATCTTCTTCATAGAACAAAACCTCGTAGGTAAATCGGTTTTCTAATTTTTCCTAGATGATATCTAGACCTAATATGTTTAGCATCTTGATAATCACTATTACTATTTCTCAAAAGACTACGCGAAGCGGTGACCCAAGCTTTTTTTCATTTGAGCACATAGCAAATAATCAACAATGACATGATGCGAGGGGGCAGGTTTATGAAATAATTATTCAATGAGAGATACAATGTCAAAATACGAATGTGAATGTGCATGCAAATGCCAATATAAGTGGTTTATTCGGGTTGAACAGACAAAAATATAAGTGGTTACAAATAATCTCCCAGGTATTTTGAGTAAATAACATAGGCAAGTAGCATATGATCAATCATCCATGTTTACACAAAAATGAGAATATAAACAAATCATTATTCACAATAAGAAAACTATTTGTATATTAAATAAAATGTTTTAAATATCTTAATAAATTTAAAAAAAATACAAACTGAAAAAAAGTAAATTTACTTATTTACCTACCTGTTATTTTGTCACAATAAGCTTTAGGTCACTTTGACAGAGCAAAAGCCAGTGTTTACCATCTGGCGCTATGACAGACATACCAGTGCAGCTGATTGGTCAGGTGAATTTTGTATTGATTCTGAAGGAACTTGAATTATAGTGAATATTTGTTTACCTCACACAAACATACCCAAGAAACAAGTATAAAAGTTTGTGTATCACTATATCAAAGTCAAAGTGTATTTAGGTTAAAGTCATTTACAAACAATATACAAATTAACTATGGAAAAATTCAAAACGGTGGTTCCCTTTGATAAATTTGAATAGAGAAATAAGAAGACATATTTTGTGAGATAGAACCATTTCGTGCTTCCTCGTCCGTCACATACAAACAACATGTTATTTGTGTAAATTATTAAATACATAAGCCCATTGGTACATGCACACCACAAATGTATGGCTTACCGAAACTACACAAGCCTACAACACCTATGAGACCAATTCTGTCCATGATAAATTCACCATACCATAAGCTAGCAAAGTGGCTGAAAGAAATTTTGGATCCTGTTTGTAAACAACTGTCAACACATACTATCCTCGATTCCTTTGAACTTCTCCCAACTTT